TGTAGGATGGGTTGTTATTCCGGTGTCATATATTTTAAACATGTAGGGTTTTAAAAACTATAGCATATGTAGACCAAAAAATCAAGTTTGACAGCAATCTTGTTATCAATAAAGCACAAATTAAAATTCAAAAAGCTAGAAATTACAAATTGAAAGGCGCCGTTTTTGAGCCCGCAATAAATGACCGCTTTGTATTGTGACGTCACAACGTGAAGGCATTATTCAACATAGACTTCAACATGTGTTACTAGAGAGTTTACAGGCAAAGTTTATCAAATGTAATCGAAATTCTCTGTTCCAAATGCCACACTGCTGTGTGCCACAGTGCACCATTCAAAAAAGACATATATCAGTTATAAAATCCCTACTGACCAAGTCAGTCAAAAAGCAAGGATAGCCCGCATAAAGAGAGAAAATCTACCAGCACTAAAGAATTGCTACGTTTGCAATGTTCACTTCGAAGAGTCATGCTTCGAAGTAGATTTGATACTAAAACTAACAGGAAAGAAAAGAAAGAGAACTTTGAAGAAAGGTTCAGTCCCTACTTTGTTTTCGTTCTCATCTAGCCCAGCGAAAAGAAGAGCAACCTCTGAAAACCACATCAAACAACATCAAGACAAAGAGGTAAGGTTCTGTTGCCACCATGACCACGCTTGTCAAAACGTGGGATCTTCCTAAATCTTTGTAACATTTAACTTATTCTATGACGAAAAAACGATTACAGCATCAATATTCGAACGCAAAATTATTCAAATTTGATATGACAATAAAATCAAATTATTATAACATAAAACAGACAGGAGTGTACTTCCAAAAGGCTTTATCTAAAGGTTTCTCGATTTAGAGCTGTAATACTTGTAGTTTATCAAAAAATCTATGCCTTCTTACTGATATCCTATTTACTGTCAAGGAAATGCCTAGTATAATTGCAATATCAGAAACTAAATTATCCAGTGAGTATTTATAATATTTCTATTCCTGGGTATAAATTTATCAGTAAGAATTCAGAAACAAACGCCRAAGGTGTTGGACTGTATATAAAAGATAAAATCAAATTCATTAGAAGGATGGACTAAGACATAATTACCGATGGTCTTGAATCGTGTTTTGTGGAGGTTGCCAGAGCTAAACACCAATTATATAATTAGATATATTTACAGACACCCACAGAATGACCGTCAATATTTTCAAAAGATTTTAAGAAAGAAATTAGAATCTATAAATACCAAAGGCTATAAAGCCTACATTAGTGGTGATATAAACTTCGATTTTCTTCGTTATAACACAGATAAGCAAACTTCAGACTATCTTGATGATCTCAGATCATCTACCTTGCTTTTGCTCTCTCCTTCAGTGCTCTGTTTTAATAATTAAAGCTACACGAAAAGGAAAAACAGATGTGACGTCGCTGGGAATCGAACTTGGACCTGCTGCAACAGCTGTGCCATCCTTGCTCCTGTATAGCTCTTCTATAGCTAAAGCTAAGGCATTTTTTCGTGGCTCCCCTTCCAAATTCTTTTGAAGACCGGGTGGCCGTGACGGGCTGAAAAAATGAGAAGGCACTGGGTACGATAGCCTGCGTGGCCGGCGGTCTGCGTTTTTATTGGGGAGACATTCCATAATCAGGGACGAGCAACAATGGGATTTCCTGGAGGAGCTTTCGAGCTTCCTCCAGGGTTATCTCCGAATTTTGGACGCGGTAAGAATCGGTTAATACCATAGTGATGGATGTTGTTAGTTGCGTTTTGAAGTACTTAGTTCTTGAATTGTTTATATCTTCACAGAAGACGCATTTGATCCCTTTCGAAGATGGTAAGTGTTTATTGTGCTGGATTCCAAAGTATACTGATGTTTACGTATGAACTATCAGGTCAATTCATTGCTTTCTGCCAGCAAATCAGTACTAAACCATCATGTTTATTTCTAGTAAATACATATTTTCTATCTTTCTTAGGGATATTAGACTTTGCCTCACAGTCATCTTCGTGAGGGATCAATTTCCGCACATGCGGCGTCGGCGGAGGAGGAACAGACCATGTAAGTAATTTTATTACAGTTATTTTACAGGCTTAACAGGGTAGGCCTTCACCATGCGTTCTTTTAATTTTTATCATACTAGCTTCCACTACCATGCCGCCCCGCAGGAGAAGAAGATAATAATAATAATAATAATGAGTGATTATCTTTCTGGTAGTAATCGTACGACTCTCCACATGACGTCGGTAGGATTCATACAGCATTAACCAATAGAGTGCCAGCATTTTCTCATACGTCATTTATTTACAGAGATCGACATAAGTGACAGAAATCATAAGTTACACTTATTACCGGATCGCGTTTTCATTACGAGTTAATCATGCCAAAGCAAAGATACAACTATAATGGCCGAAGTCCAAATGTTTTGGCCTTCGAGCAAAGTGGGGGACAAGATGAAGACTTGTCTGGTTTTCTCTCCAGTGATCTGGTCGCCGGGCAATCCCTGGCAGCCAAAAATAGAGGCAAGGCGTTAGATGAGCGCACGTTGCGTCTCTATGAAACAAGGCTGATGCATCTTGAGGAATTTGCCACAAGCAAGGGAGATGAAGCGCTTCTCTTTGGAGAAAGAAGACGTCCCTTCCTAGCTGTTACCATCATGACATTCCTACGTAAGTTTATTATCATAGATGTTTATGGAAGGTTAAAGAAGACTATTTCTGGACTACTATGCTTTGATGCTCGAACTCCTACTGTACTTTCGTCAAAACGCCATATTCGAGAGCAACTTTGACGAAAAGATTCAACTGATTTAAAATCGCATTCGCGTTAAAATAATATTTTATAGTAAACCAAATGTCTAAAAAAATTTTAATCTTTAAATATGTGGCAGAGATTTCAATTAATTTGAGTTCGGCATGACGTGTCGGCACGAAGCACGGATGTCACAAGTAAGCGTGAATTATCAAAACGAATTTCTTTCATGACCATAGACATTCAAATGCTAAGTAACTAATGTTTATCAAACTTATTACATATGCATAACTAGAAAGCGAAACTAGGATATCAAACAGAACGTGAAGCAGAATATGGATTCCCAAGAGTGAGACATATTTTGAGTCGAACTCAATCTGTGGATTTCGGGCGGTGTCCATAGTTCGCGCTAACGCAAAACGTGGACCGAAACGAACGCAAAACGTGGACCGAAACGCATAGTGTATAGCCCATGGTGATAGAGTCCACATTTTGAGTTGAAGCAAAATATAGATTCCAAGAGTGAGACATATTTTGAGTTGAACTCAATCTGTGAATTTCGGGCGGTGTCCGTAGTTCGCGCTAACCCAACACGTGGACAGAAACGCATATAAAGACTTTGTAAGATAGCGGGATTTCTGTGTGTAGTGTGCCGATCACATTAAAACGTATCAATGGATAATAAGTCGGCCTACATTGAAGTAATTAATTCCGGCACAGGTAAGGATCACTGACGTGGAAAAAGAGTGCTCTGAAGTAAATTTGAAATTAACTCATTCTTGTATTAAGTGTTTGAAGTATGATACATATATTCAACTACAGGAAGCTATATAGTTTAATAAATCCTAGAATGGTTCTCAATATGCGAAAGATGTTAAACTGGGAATTTTTAGCCTGAACACTCAAATTTTGGCAATTTTAATAGCGTATATATATTTCTTTTATAGAAAAAAAGTGCGAACGAAAAGGGAAAAAAATCGGATCCCTTCGTTGTGAGGAGTTAAAACCCCCAGTAATAAATGGTTATAAAGCCGCTTTCCGGTACTGGTTCAATGCATTTGGGCATACTGGGCCCTACGAAGAAGTAGTGGAGAAAGATGAAGAGGGCAAGCTGATTGGAGTAACACCAAGTGGCAATCCGATATTTTCTCCAGGTTAGTTTACTAATTATAAGCATTTAGACTATGTCAAAATATAGTATACCGTATTTACTCGACAGAATAAGTTTCTCAAGTCTGAAACGGCGCTGTTATTCAACGGAAGCGCTTAAGTATTAGTGGGAGGCGCTTATTTAAGAAACGGACACAACAGCTGATATAAGCCGTTCTCAGTTTTGATTTCAGTGGTATACAATTACTACAGTATTTATAGTATTGTAGGAATTGTAAGACGAGAAGAGGATACGTTTATTCGAGAAAGGTGCTTATTAAAGATCTTGGCCCAAAAGCCCGCTTACTCGGGGGAGGCGCTTATACTAGTAAATACGATACTCTGAAACTTTCAATCAATATTGTTTATGAAGCCAGTCATAATTGATGTAAAGGCATTTTAATGGGGTTTAATTTTCAAAACATACAGACATACCTTTTGGGCCTGAAACTAAGGCTCATAACTTTATGTTTTCCGACATAATGTTATTGCTGTTACTTCACACCGACATTGAAATATATTTAAGTTTTATAATCTTGCGGTTGGAGCTACATATCGTCCCATCAAAAATGCTGAACTTTTTTGAGTATGCATATGTATCCACATTTCAGGTGTGAAGCAAGCAATCAAGAAACTCATCAAAAGAGCTAAGCGACCTTCAAAGAAAGAAATGCGTAGAGGTCGTCAGGCATATGAACCGAAGAAAGCCCCTCCATTTATGCTTGACGACCTCTACAGAATGAGGAACTACTGCTTAATGACAATAGAGGTGAAACAATGCTAATTACTAAGTTATATCTTTCAAGGGAATTGAAAGGTAACTTTGTTCGGCCATTTGATTTTTAGGGTTTATGTGGATTGTGGCTTTGGACGGTTGCCTTGTTCTCATTTTCTTTATTTCTACGTGGTGAGGAGCCACTAAGACTGAAAGTCAAGCATCTCTCTTTTCCTGATGGTTTCGATCGTAAGTCCTTTTCGGTTTATCTTTCCCCGCCGCGATTACAGCGCTTCTCTCAGATCGCTTAAAATAACTTTTTGTTTCTTGTTTTATCTTGCTCTCGCGAATCTACAAAGTCAAGAGAACATTCATATTCTCTTGACAAAGTTGACGTACACGCTCAAATATGGAGATATTTCCACCTTGCAGACAACTCTACAGCAGTACAAAGGGKACAGAGGGCTATGACAAGATCTACAGAATAAGAAATTACCTTACAATGTTGGGTGAGAATATCAGAAGAGAATATCAGCTGTCACGTGAAATATCAATTGATGAGACAATGATACCTCACAAGGGGCGGCTTAGCTATAAGCAGTATATAAAAAATAAACCAACGAAATGGTTGATCAAACTGTGGGTTCTTTCAGAGGCAACAACTGGGTATGTCTATCGTTTCCAAGTCTATTTAGGAAAGGTTGAAGGAAATCCTGAACAACATCTGGCAAAGAGAGTTGTTAGAGACCTAACCATAACAGAGGCTAATAAAAACCACCACTTATATATGGATAATTTTTATTGTGATCCTCATTTGTTCAAAGAACTATTAGACAAGAAAATATTTTGCTGTGGTACAGTAAAATTCAATCGTAAAGGTTTTCCACAAGAGGTTGTTATCACTAAAGAAAGACAAAAACAAATGAGGAGGGGTGATTACTTGTGGAGATGTGATGGTCAACTTGTTGCATCGGGATGGCTTGACAAGCGTCCAGTTTATCATTTGTCAACCAGTCATCCTCCGACAACAAATGAGCCCACAACTGTTGCTAGACGAGAAGGCAGAGGAGAAAGACAATCACTTCAATGCCCTACTGGATTATCAGAAGTTTATGGGTGGGGTGGATCTGACAGACCAAATGATAAAGAGTTTCTCAGTTTTGCGGAAGTCAAGAAAGGCTTGGAAAAAGCTTTTCAGTTACGGACTTGAAATAAGTTTACTGAACTCTTTCATTATCATGATGAAAGCTAACCCAGATGACAAGAGCACATTTCTGGACTATAGACTGCAGGTTGCAAGACAGCTTATTGGTGGGCAGTCATTTCGTGCAAAGATTGGTAGGCAGTTGTCCCGTCCAATGTCCCAGATGGATACTCTACGTCTGAATGGAAAGTTCCATCCACTGGAATTTACTGACACAAGACTAGACTGTGTTGTATGTGCCAAAACTGTCCAACAAAGAGCACTTCACAGAAACCACCGAAACAAGTCTGCTGTGAAGTGCACTATATGTAAGGTTCACCTTTGTGTCAACAGCCTAAGATCTTGCTGGAATGCATGGCATAATTCTGTTCAATACTGGTAGTAAAGAAAAAACATCTGCTTCAAAGGAGTTTCCTGATGCAGTGGCAGGTAATGGTTAGGTATATATTGAATTTCGTTTAGCTTAGCTGTATGTGTGACATTTTTATTGATGATGTTATTGAATTTTTTTTTCAAGAACAACAGCTATTTTTCACGAAACTGAAATTTGTAACTTTCTTGAATGAAAATATTCAATTTCTTGGTACATATGGAATAGGTGCAACACACAAATAGACCTTTTATTTGTTATAATAAGAATATATAGTTTAGGGGGTGGTTACTGTAATGCAAGCAAGATATAAGAAGTTTCCATACTCCAAGTTGGATTGAAATTGATACCTTCAGAAATTTGGCTCTAATTCCTATAAAATAAAACGGTCACCGCTCTGCACATGTCACAATTGTAAAAATGGTTTTCAGGTTTTTGTACTGTATATGTTGTTGCCTTTCTAACTTGTACATAATTAGCTCTGTATCATTAATAATGTTGAAAATATTTTGTCAAGAACAACAGCAATATTTTTCGCCTAAATAACATTTGCAACATTTTTGCATAAAATGTATCAATTTCCTGGTATATATTATGGGATATGTACAATAAACAGAAAACACTTTTATTGGGCATTACAGTGACATATGGTTTAGGGGGTGGTATATAGCACCGTAAGGAAGATATCAATGGATTTCTTGCTTAAGGTTGGGTCACAATTGGCATATTTTCAGAAACTTGGCAATTAAAAAGTTAAACTGCATACATGAGCGTGTGGAGATAAAGAAAGGCTAAGAAGCCATGTGGCGCGACCTGCTTTTTATTACGTCCCCCCCCCCCCTGCTTTTCATTGGAAAAAACATATTCTGTTGGTTTTTTTTCGTTTTTCTTTTAGCAAAATCGGACAACATTCCTCATCGAATTCCTTTCTCAAAAGCGGATAGACAAGCCAAAGGTATGCAATGATTTTCACAAACAATTTATTAATTGCATTGATACTGAGTATCTCACAGAGCATTTCATCAACCCTGGGCTTCATGTGATTTCTCCTTATCTGTTTTTAACTCTTTCCTGTCCGGCCCTTCAAATATCAGTACGTACGTACTGATGACGTCATGACCCTGTTTTGTCCTTAAAATATTAAGAATCGGCCAAAAGGCCAACGTATTGTGTGATATAGATAACAGCCAGTGAGAAAACGTCTTATGTCTTGATTTAAATAGTACGAGCATTTTGATAGGTGGATTCTACTTTTAGTCACGCGTCGCCAAGGGTGACGTCTTATTTTCCAATATGGCGTCTCCAGCGAAGCAGGCAAGATCCTCGAAATCTTACAATTTACACGAAGTTTTAGCTTTACTAGACGAAGAAGACAACGAAATTGAGATTGATAGTGGTCCTGAAGGAATATCAAGTAGCGATGAGAGTGATTTAGATCGACAATTACGAAATTCTTCTGACGATTCAAGGTGAGTCGAATATAAAAACGTGTTCATGCTTTACRGCGGAAAAAAACTCCTCATAAAGTTGCTTCGGACCATGAACAATGCACTTAGGCTTAGGAACAAAACCATGAAAAGTACTGAAATGTATTTGGAAACCAAAAAAGTCTGTCTTATGATAAAAAAAGCAAAATATTAGGGAATTATGTTTCGCAGGAAGCAAACAGCTGAGCGAAATTTGATCCAAAGCATCTTTACATTCGGTAATGTCTCTTTCGCTGTTAGGCACTTTTTTGCTTAGCAAATCACCTATAATCCAGCTTTTTACTCTAATATATTATCAAATATAATTGGAAGTTGATTATTTTGTTGTTCTATTGCAATATGAAGTATAAAATAATTTGCTCTTTTGACACTATAGATAACATATTCAGTCATGAGCAATCTTGTCAGTAGCAAAAAATTATCTTCATTACCTATGAATGCAACAAGTACAAATAGTATTTACTAGAGCAATGTTTTCCTGTTGATGTTTGAAACTAAGGTTATTAATTTCAATCTYTTAGCGATGGAGGACAAGACAGTGACTATGAACCCGATACAAATGCTGATGATTCTCTTAGCGATCCTGGGTCCTCAAGTGGTAATGAAAGCAATGTTTCCAGTGATGAAACTTCTCAAGGTGGTCCAAATTTTCCAAATCAGGTTCATGGAAGAGGTCGTGGACGTGGACGTGGCAAAAGCAGAGGACGTGGAAGAGGCTATGGACAAGGACGTGGTCGAAATGGTGGACGTAGGCTGAGTGGCCATGTAATGCAAGCAGACCAACAACGGCCTTCAAAAAGCTACAATGACCCTGATGTAGGTAATGTCATGCCACCTTTTGCACCTAATCGTCCACCAGGAGTACACTTTGGTCAAGTTCTTCTGAGGAACGGCATGACAACAGCACTAGAGTTTTTTCAGCTATTCTTTTCATTAGAGATGATTACAGAAATTTGCAACCACACAAATAGCTATGCTTATGAGCATATAACTGCAGGAACTCATTGGCTGAGATTTGTATTGGAGATGGTTTAACGGAAGAACAGCGTTCACTTGTTTGTCAAATGTTACTCGATGAATCAGACTCTTTTTCTAAAAATGACACTGACATTGGATGTATAGAGGACTTTCAAATGGAGATAAACTTAACTGACACCCAGCCGGTTCAACGGAATTATAACCGTATACCCAGACCGCTTTACGAGGAAGTGAAGAGCTATACAGAAGATCTACTCAACAAATGCTGGATACGTCCCTCTCGATCAAACTATGCATCACCGATTGTGTGCGTCCGAAAGAAGGACAGTGATTTACGACTGTGTGTTGATTTTCGTGAACTCAACAAAAGGACTGTTGCAGACCGTCATCCAATCCCCCGCATTCAAGATATTCTTGATAATTTGGGCGGGAATACATGGTTTAGTATGCTCGACCAAGGAAAAGCCTACCACCAGGGTTTCATCGCACCTAACTCTAGACATCTCACTGCTTTCGTAACTCCCTGGGGACTGTGGGAATGGGTTCGTATCCCATTCGGCTTAAAGAATGCTGTTGCTGAGTATCAACGCTTCATGGAAAATAGTTTAACTGGAATTAAATATGAAATGTGTGTCCCGTATATTGATGACGTCATAGTTTACGGCAAAACCTTTGAGGAACACGTTGAACATATACGGTCTGCTTTACGTCGTCTGAGAGAAAGTGGAGTTAAACTAAAGCCAAGAAAGTGTAGGCCTGTTTAAGCGCGAAATTACTTGTTTAGGACGCGTAGTGTCAGCAGATGGACATCGGCAGGATCCATCAAGTATACAAGCTGTCGTCGCTTTGAAGGACAGTAAACCCTCCACGGTAGGGGAAGTACAGAAACTGCTCGGACTTCTTAGCTATCATCGTCAAAACATTGCTAACTCTTTTAAAATATAGGACACGTCCAATATCGGTAAGGGTGGTCTGACATCGTCAACAAAGATAACGTGGACGGACGAACATCAACAAGCGTTAATACGTCTCATCGATGAATTAGTAACACCACCAGTACTAATATATCCTGATTGGTCCAAACCCTTCATTTTGTTCACTGATGCTTCTAAAGATGGCCTCGGTGCAGCACTTTATCAAGAGCAAGACAAATGTGTCAAGCCAGTTGCATTCACATCTCGAACACTGACTACGGCTGAACGCAATTACCACCTCAACTCGGGAAAGTTAGAATTTCTCGCCCTTAAGTGGGCCRTGTGTGAACAGTTTCGGGATTATTTGTACTATGCACCTCACTTCACGGTGTTCACTGATAATAATCCTCTAACCTACGTACAAACTACAGCGAAACTGAACGCGACGGGACATCGATGGGTCGCTGAACTTGCAGATTTTAACTTTACGATCAAATATCAACCTGGGCGATTGAACACTGTTGCGGACACTCTAAGCCGCATGCCTTTTGATATAGCTAGCCTTGATAAACATTTCATTCAGACCACTAGTCAAGATGAAATGAACGCTACCTTTACTGGTGTTGCGATGCTGAGCGCTGGTGATGCAGCGTGGGTCACTTCCATTTGTGACCACATTGATCTTAATTATGAAGAGCCATCTTTGCGTGATGTCAAAGGAAGGACTGACTACCCGCCAACTGCTACTAGCTCAACAGGCTGATCCTAGTATCAGCAGAGTCGTCGAGATCAAACAACAGGGACAGCGTCTCAGTCGTYGAGCGCTACAACGTGAAAGTAGAAATRCTAGAGCCCTACTAAGAGAGTGGACTAAGCTTGAAGTGGGAGCTGACGGATTATTGCGGCGACACACCACAAACCACCTACAACTAGTACTCCCAGCTTCCAAGCGTTCCCTAGTGTACARAGAACTGCACCAAGAGATGGGACATTTAGGAGCAGACCGTGTCATCCAGTTGGCGCGCGAGCGTTTCTACTGGCCACGTAGGCAGCAAGACATCACACACTTCGTAMCGAACGTCTGTCCTTGCCTTAAACAACGCCGCCCACAACAGTCAACACGTGCTCCGATGCAACATATTRCGTCGTCATCACCTTTTGAACTCATTTCTATTGACTTTCTACACTTAGAAAAGAGCTCAGGAGGCTATGAATACATCCTTGTAATCGTGGATCATTTCACCAGGTTTGCCCAGG